AAGCAGTTGACTGGCTTTTTTTTCCATCGATACGCACAGTTCGACTCGTTGTGGTCGATCGATCTATCGATCGAATGTGTATGGACTCATGTTGAGTCTAGATTCCACACAAATATGATTCAAAAAGCAATCCCCAAAGATTCGTCTCGGAAAAGTCAGCATATTGACGAACAGTAGATTAAAAAATTACGTTTTCAAGTGTAAAGATTTTACCTGTGGAATAAATGATTATTTGACTTTGACTTTGACTAGACTCCGCTGAGATTATATTGCAATCATGATTAACTCAATAAGATGATAATATTTGTTATTCTGCTAAAATCTACTTGCAATGGCGGTCAGTGGAATAGCAGTGATGGCATTTATTCATTCGGTCCCTAACGATCGATGTTGCCTTACTAAAAACTACCATGGTTTGGCATGGATTTCAGCAAAATTTTATCTTCTTTTACAATCTATCGATAAAACTATCGACAACAGTTACATGACTTTTTAAAATTTTATGAAAACTAGCAACCCTGCAAATGTCATTTTACTCCGCCATCAAAAAAGACAGACTATAATGGATTTTCACTCGTTCATTCATTCTTTTTTTTTAATCAAATCAAATACATTTTTCACCTCACTAGCTCGAAAAGGCTTTCTTTCTCATTAGAAGTCTGCGCGCAAAAGCGTTTTTTGAAATTCGAACTTGACGATGGACTGTGGTGCACCTAACTTTTTCTTACGATGAAAAAAAAGGTAATGACACGTTCAACTACGCAATTCGTCGTACATTACTAATTTTTGTAATATAAATCTGTTACTACATTTTATTCTTATTATTGTTGACATTAAATTGACAACGGTAACTATTTTTTGTATTTTTTATTTGTATTTACTAAATTATTTTAATTTGTCGAAGAACTAAATAATTTCACTAACCACTTAATCACACAAAATTTTATATACAAGCAAGAATAAAAATTGACGAGGTGTAAATTCAGAACGCATCCGAAGATAAACTTTTTCCTTTGACTTAAAAAAACTGATGTTATACAATTCAACTGTTTTTCTTTCATTTACCATTTTCCTCGCTATAGTGAGATGAAAAGTTGTGGGTTTCGCTTGAAACCCTCGCTACGCTCGAATCTATTTTTGAAATACTCGCTTCGCTCGTGGTACAATCTTAGCTTCCTTCGTTTGCTCCGGTTTCAATATAATCCTTCGCGTCAAACAACACCTTTGCAGCCTTGCATAACAAATAGCTAATGTTCACCGTCATGGGTACAATAAAGATGTTAACATACATTATTTAATGATCGCCATGACGTACCATCAAGGCATATCTAAGTCTTAAAATCTATAACAGTTAGGATATCAAAACAAAAGTAATTTAATTAAAATAATAATCAATTTAAATAAATTTAATATCACGTTAGTCTCAATAATAAATAAATTAGCGTGAAGTTAATTACCAAAATTCCTTCAATGTATAAAATGATTTTTCAATTAAATAATCAAATAAGTCAAATTTTATTTCCTTTATTTTAATTCTGTAATTTTTGTACCAACAGTAAAATAGTAGCTTGTAAGTATACTAACAAAATGGACTGTAAATTGTCTGCAATACATATTTTTCATTTTTATTTATAATCATTTAAAAACATGTTCGCCTTCTTAAGAAGTTGTCCAAAGGAATCGGCAAATAAATCAATGGTAAAAATCTTTACAGGTCACTCATGGTCGTATTCCAGAACTCTACTCAGTGCTCAAGTCATGACTTGAGTATGATTTGAAGCACTGGAAATCATACTCAAGTCCTTGCCATTAGGGTCGTATTTCCAGTGTTTGACAGCATACTCAAGTCCTGAGTTAAGCATTGAGTAGAGTTCTGGAATACGACCCATAGTCACGACTAACTGAGATCTAAAGTCGTCAACTAGTTATGTATACTCTGAATTCTCCATCTCTTAAATTTACTAAAGAACATTTTTGAACGTAGATACGGTTTGATTGATAAAACAAATAGATACTCGACTTCTCGATCTGAGTTAACAATCTCGAGACTTGATTTTGTCTTTTTAACCGACTTTAAAAAAGGAGGAGGTACTCAATTCGACTGTAAGTTTTTTTCGTATTTATTTATGTTACACGATAACACATTTGTGAACCGCTTTCGATGATTCTTTTTTTGTTGGAAAGACAGCACCTGAAAAGTGGTCCCATTTAAATTTGAAGAATATATTCCACCTCTAAGGGTGGCAAATTAGAAATCCGGTTTCGCGCCCTTTCCGGTAGCCGTTTCAATCAAACTTGGCAAATAGATGTAATTCCACGTACTTATAAGATCGGCTTTTTTAGTACTCTGTACTGAGATTATTATGATATCAAGTGACAGGACGAACAAGACGTACGCCTGGTGGCAAGCGACACGCCTGTCCATAACAGCTGCAATGTCAGTCAGAGCTTCCAAGCGCAAAGATCACTGCCACTGCGCCCGTCACTCCGAAACATAAATTGACAAGTCCTGTGCGAATTGCAATTTCACCAGCATCCGTACCCTTAAAAACCGGAACGCAGTAATGCTTACATTAGTGCCTGACGGCGGAAATAGGTAAGGTTACTTTCACAAGGAACTCTACTGCTACTAAAAATTTGATGTAATAATGGAGAAAACCTTAGAGTTGTGTTTATTTTTTGATGTCAATCATTGACTTACAAATAAATGGACGACGGGTCTAATACAAAAACCACGAAAAAAATGTCCCAAGACAACCTATTTAAACGTAGTGACATGTAAAGGAATATGAAAAAGCTTTTAAATTGTAATGTCATCGCAGTACTGTCTATTTTGCTTGTTTCGCTGTCAGTCGAACAAACGAAGACTAAAGCGTGAATGACGCTCTGTATACGATTTTAACGCCCTATAAGTTCGGGCACTTTTTAGCGCGGACCCGACGTCCATATAATTGTAAGTCAATGATGTCAATAGACAAATTTTTATTTATCTGATTTTAATAGTTGATATATATACGCGTTTCTCTAATAAATGCCATTCCAGCCTTGAATAGGGCTGGGCTGGCATTTACTAGAGAATGTAATAATGCGGGGCTAGTAGTAGCTTTCGAAAAAAACGCAACGTATTCCATTTCGTTGCAGGTATCAGGAAAGATGCACTTCTTTGCAAAATAATAACAGCGTTATAGACTTTAAGTGGAGTTGAGTAGTTAGACGTGGTAATGGCCGCAGGAGAAAGGCTTTGACGGAGTGGTGACCAGGGATAAGTCGAAGAAATGCAATACCCAGAAGTGGATAATATAAGTCTGAAAATGAAATGCCAAATGACCACACCAATTGCCTGGTCTCTTGTCTTCTTAATTGGTCTTATGGGGTATCGAACCCGGAATCTTCTCATACAGTGTCCACAATGCAAGCAAGACCACGAGGTCGTCCTAGAGGATGGTATTGTCCGGGTTTTGCTAGAGAAAATCGAAAGCATAGCTAAGATAAATTACTGTTTAGCTTAACGAGAGTATGTACCCAAATTGTCAACATTATTGCCAAACCTAAAGACGTTTAAAAATAGGTTTTAGTACCTTAGTAAAAGATTCAATTCCATACGTACGATTTTTCTGATCGGTGACTGCAAATTCTGTCTTAAACCTATAGAACTTTGATAAACCTACCAAAACCATACTTAGACATGAACCCGAACGTCTACACTGTAATTAAAAAGGTGCGTGACAGGTTTTTGTTCGGAAAACGCAACGAAAACTGTGAAAATCTACGCCTAACGCCATCTAGTGACGAGTGGAGAGAAGTAACAATGTTGCTTTGTCGGAAGGGATGGAGACGAACGAACATCTCTTATAGGGACTTGGAAAATAGTTTTCTTGTACCATTTTTAAAATTTACTAATATTAAATATTGTGATTTAACGAAACAGCAAAATATTAGTGATACGTTTCGAGGACGATTGCAATAAATAATAACTGCCTAAATTAATAAAGTTGTAATTCTTCTTAATTTAGTCTTTTATCTTATAAAATAATTCATAAGTCTTGTTAAAATTACATTCGATATTCGAGAACCTATAAGTCAAGACGTGTTACGTGAGTACGTGATATTTATACATGTAAAAAAAAACTATTTAAAAATAAAACTATTCGAACATCCCTAGCCAATTGCAAAAAAATAGGGTAAACGCACCAATAAATGGTACCCATACGAAAGATTAATGCCAAAAGCAACACGAACCTAGTAACCGAATTTCGGCAGCGCGAAACAAAAACTGACCTACATCTGCGCCCTACCGAGTTCAGCCACCCCTGCCTACCGACGACTGAGACGATCACCCTACGCGTCTTACTTGCCCTTTGCGCTCGTGCACTTTCAATTATTTCAAGGTGACGTGAGGGATTGATAAAAAGAAAATTTTAGCACAGTTGGAATAACATCCAATGAGATTTAAATTAAAGATATTTTTAAAAAGAATTCTACCAGCAAACAGCTACGTGAGAAACGGTATAGCAGGAGGGAGGGTAGGGGGTGAGCTATCCAACATATGAAATAGTGTACAAGAGTGAAGATCAATAAGTTTTTACGCGAAACCACGTATCCGCCGTGTTTGTTTTGGCGGCTAACAAGCCGGAGAGGTCGAACGTAAATAAATGCAAGTACGCCTGCATCGCCAAGTCCAAGAAGCGGCCGGTCGCGGCGCAAAAAAAGCGCATCCTATTATCGACTACAACAAAAGGACATGCAGTGATACCTAAGTACACATCTCGATTCATCGTCTCGACTCGATCCGAACCTATCCTATTGGCGCGCCCCACTGTCGCCGCGGGGGAGCGGGACGGAGCGAGCGATTCGGAGAGAGAGAGACGAGGAGGGAGACGGTCATCTTAGCTGCCGAGTGGCGTCCCACTGGGCGGGGCCCCGGCAAGGAGCGAGCCTCAGATGCGCGCTGTGTTGGTGGGGCTCCGTGCGAGCGAAGGATCGCACTGCAGTCGTGTGTCGCGGCCCCGACGCGTGCCCGCGACGCCGCGCTCTGGGATACACCTTACGTAATAACAACTAATCGGATCATTTGCCCTATACCGATAATCGATCGTGAAGTGAAAATTCGATTTGTGACTAATTAATTTTTTTTGCTCGACCAGTGTTTGAACTTGTGCACCTTGTGACATGTTTTGTTTTGTTTTCGTAAGGACTTAGAGATTATTTTTGGGCGGATCTTTGACTGTGTTTTCCTTTTTATTTTGTATTGAGACACTGTGAGTGTGCTATGTCGATTTCCGAACTTTAAGAGTTCATGTGATATATTTTGACTTCATAGTGTTGTGTGGACATACACTGAGAAATATTGTGATTGTTCTGCTCGCTTCCGAGAAACAAACGTAAGTCTTTAATTTAAAATTCGGTGTTTACCTTAAGTGTCGTGAATTAAAATTGGGCCAAGTGCGATGATTCTCTCGTTTCGAAAACCGTTTATAACACTGTAATCTTTTCTGCAAATTATGTTTATAATAAATTTACAATTTATAAACTCTAACTAGAAGTGTTGAATCAACAAATAATGCAAACTAATTAGGAAATCCAATTAGAAATTTTTAAATTATAGAAATTTAAAAACACAGTAAAAACTAAATTGTATAATTTTTTATTAATAATTTAAAAAAACAAACGCATTAAACAAAAGACGTCTTAATAAAATATTACAAATAATAATTTCTAAATCATTTTCTAAAAACAACAAACTCTGTGGGAAAATCAAATTACCAGTTTCACATTTTCTGAACTAGAAAATTTTCAACGAAAAAATTTCAACGGTATCGCAAGAATTACACTCGAATATCTCAACATTACTGTCTAATTAAAATCTGAACACTTGCAGTCATCGAATAGAAACACAATCGATAAATCAAAATGATCAATTAGATTAAAGAATTGGGTAAAAAATCGTCTAATTGGCCTTAAGTATTTATAACAACGAGAATATCGTCGTCGCGCGACGGATCCCGCCGGACGAACGTTCCGATTAAAGATTGATCACAATTAGACTATTTTACCCTAATTCCGAACGCAATTGCAAATATTTTAGTGATGGGAACGGTGCTCACATTGTTAATAAATTAATAGTTTTTTTTTCAAATGAAGACAATTTTGTAAATGTAAAAAAAAAACAAATTAAATTGTGACAAATTTTTCCGACCCAATTCGCCTATAGTGATTGAATTTATTAATAGTTTCTAAGAGGTGGGATATTAAAAAAAATCGAGCCTGTAGATTATTAACACCAGACTTAGCACAAAATTTGAAATTGTAGTTTTTAGATCTTTCTCAATTATTCTATAGTCTAGATTTAACGATAAAAAATATTGAAGTATTCACAATTGGAGTTACTTTCGTAGGTTGTTTCGTGTTCTTGAATTAAGGTTTAATGGTACGAATATTGCTGAACATTAATTTCCTTCGCCGAAACACATTGTACGTTTCTTGAATGTTATAAATTTTAAATTAATTATTAAACCCTTGAAAAACGGAAAAAAGAAAACCGTTTGATAAAAAATAGTTAAAAACTTACTTACCGACAACAGACTAAGTACACCTGACAAAATTTAAAATTTTGAAAAAAGAATTTCCGATGTACATAGCACCGAAAACTCGTAATTTCCTAATTGTGGTCGTCCACTAATTCGCTCACCTGTGACTTGCCAAAATATAGGGAAGTTCGACTAACTTTGCACAGATGGCGCCACCGGGGGTTCTTGACCTCTAATTTTGTAAAATGGAATATACACTTCCGTGTTATGCGATTTATACGACATTAGAAATTATACTAATTTAAAAAAGTTACAATTAAAATTCTAGCGTTGTTATAATTAGAATTGTTCGTCTAAAACTGCTGGGAATTTTAGATGAATTATTTTATTATAAATTTTTTTCCAAAACCACAATAGAATCATTCCAATTACACTGCCATGTGTAAGATATTAATTTGGCGGAATTGAAAAATAAAAATAATAAAATGTAAATATTGTAAAAAAAAAATTCAGAAAACGATAAACTACTAAGACAGGAACAACACTATTCATAAATGTGTTGCTACATTAAACTGGATACTTAAGAGGACTGCATCATCTGCACGATTTACTCTACATACCAATCGGCAGTCAGTTACAGTTATTCCAATTAGAATCGAGAATATCGAGTAAAATAATCGATTTGTTAAATCGATGTCACGACATCGATCATGATCGTATAACAATAATGTAGTGTTGTGCTCAGTATGTTATTGTACTCCTAGTGACAATTAATATCTATTGTTCTTTTAAGTTACTTCTAAGAGATTTATGTGTTAATTGACTTACTTGAGATTAAGTGGCTGTCTAGCTTTTAAAGTGAATTTAACTCGTGTTTAATATCGTATTTTTAAATAAGTATTTTTGTGTTAAAAAGAAGTTAAGTCGTATGAAAAATTAAGTTATAATTAAGTAAACTAAAATAGAGATTCCAAATTATTATTAAACGGAAAGCATCCATCAATTTTATTTTTTTATAATTTTGCTTTAAAAGCCGGTTGTGTATAACTTTATGATCGGCCCACGCATTAATAATTCAAATTACATTGACAAATTTTTAACAGAGATTAATTTATTGTTATATTTATTGTATACATTGTGTTCTTCACAGTTTTATTAAAATTAAAATTTATTATATTTGATATAACGATCGGCTATAAAACAATAATTCATTTAGTGTCCAGAAAAAAAATGCAAATATATTGGTACGTATATGTATATATATAAAGTTGTAAGAATATAATTTTTAAATAATTTAAGAGTCCATTTGAACGAAGAAATATAGATTTCTTTAATAAGATAAGCAAAAGGAGCTATATGTAAGGATCAATGTTGTGTGTAAACAATCGACTATAATAATCGATTTTGATGTCACGTTACACGCTGCACTATTTCTGATCGAATTTGTCTTAAGTCATGCTCGAAATTTTAAAAAAAGGAGTTTAATTATTATTATTATCTCCTAATTATACCAAATTCATAAAGTCAATGTCTAGCTCGACATTATTCACTATATCTATATTTGAAGGTAAAGATATTAACGAAAATAACACAGAATTATTGAGAAGGTATCTGATCTCTCTCTAAAACGGGTAAAGTTACCAACCCTTATTGACGCTGTACTAAAACTCTACCAGTGGAAGAGAGCTTCAATGGAATCGTGGATTTATACATAATATTCTAACTAACATTATTTTGTCTTCTCATCTGTATTTATTTTGACGACCTCGATGGCTCAGTTTGTACTGTGGACGCTAGTTGAGGAGGTTCCGGGTTCCATTCCCGGTAGGTCCAATTTGAAAAATTAACTTTTCTAAATTGTTTCTGGTCTCTCTCGTGTACTGTCATAGTACGAATTCCCTTGTTTGAGTCCAGTTAATTAATGTGATACTTTAACTATTATTATTAAAAGAAAACACTTTTATTGAACATCGTTGTATTATTGACTATTATTATTTTTTATTTTTAAATGTTTTATATTAACTACACTCCTGGACAAATAATTCGAACCACTGTGAATTTTCAGCATTAAATGACCTAAGGTTGAAAATGAATGCAATGTTGATGCTGGTGATTGATTCCATATATACTTTTTGAGAATTAGAATTTCTAAATTTGGGTAAGCCAATTATAGAAAACTTAATAATAAACTCTCAGATTTTATCTAATGCAACTAGTATTCAATGGTGGTGGATAAAAGCGGCTATCGAATGGTGATCAGGCAGTGGTGACAAACACGTGAGGCCGTAGATGGAAGAGACTACAACATGGTGGATACCACAAACTACTAGAGGCCTATAGGTATTGCTACTAAATATTCACAAATGTACAATTATCTCCAAGACCGAACGGTTACCGTGCTGGTCTGCCACGCAGAGGTCCGAGGGTTCGATTCCCGGGCCGGGAGAAATATTTGCATCGCCTATATTTATTTCTCTCGTGAGTTATCTATGTGTGTGTATGTCACCCGCGATATAAGGTTTACCTAGTGCAGAGCTATGAGTGTGTAAGAACAATATTTTTGTATCGTAGGCTTTTAAAAATAGAAATGAAAACGCAAGGTAGATCGATTTATATGTCCGAAAGTGTAATATTATTTAGTTTAGTAACGACAGTATTAATTATCCTTTGACAAGGCATTGAAATTGTAATATTGTCGAAACGTTCAACTTCTTTTTTTTTTGTTTTATTAAATATGTATTAAGTACCTACTTACGGAACGTATGACCTTTACAGCAGAGGCCGTGGGTTCGAATCCGGGCCACACCTCTGAGTTTTTTGGAGTTTATGTGCGAAATTGGATTTTAAATTTACAATAAGCGTTTTGATAAAGGAAAACGTTGCGATGAAATCTGAAATCGAAGGTTCACAGTCCTCGGAAAACGTGTAAAGTCCCGTCCCAGTATGGGACGCGTTAATGTTTATGTAAAACAATCAAAATCGCTCCCACGATTAAAATTTTTATATCTCTTTGTTTATGTATGGATTTATAATTATAAATGTTTTATTACAGTTATTTGATATAGTTTTTCTTAGGAATATTATTTAGATTTATGACATGGGAAACTGCCGGGGCAATATCATTTAATGTCCGTACCGTAGTTTTAAGTTAAAATGTACAAATAATTTTAATAATCGTCATTAATTACAAGTTTCTTATCGCAGTAAGAGTTTTTATTCCGCGGCATGATTTAATATTTGTCATTCTATGCTTAATAACTTGTGTAACAACAATTGCTGCATACCTTCTGCATGAATTTGTTTTATTTCGCTTCAAATATGCCTTCGTTATTCGCTAAAAGATTATAATAAAATGAGTTATTGATGTTTTTTTTTATATCCCTGTGCTGGCATGTTACAACACATCTTGTGAAAGAGTTCGTCCAGGGAAATACTGCCACTATATCTATTTCTGCCGCCAAACAGTATTGAATGGTGCTGGTGAAAATCACAGGCACATGGGACTTGTCTCAAGGTGATGGGCGTAGTGGCAGTGCCTTTCAGATCTTTGCTATTTAAAGCTCTGCAACTGCTTTAGAAAGGCGTACGACTTGTTCGCCCCGTCACATGATTTTATAAAAAAACACATTAATATTATTTGATATTATACAGCTTCTGCGTATTCGGGTGACAAAAAACAGTGGTGGTCAACGGTTCAGCTCTTGCAGGTATTCTCGATCTAAGATGTTTGAAATAAATATTGTAAATTATAAACGTATTCAAATGTGTACTTCCAAAGAGCCAACACCTAGAGTTTCTTGTTTGTTCTTCTCGGGGGATCTGCCTTACAAATGAACAGTAGAACTCCTTGTAAA